CACGCCAGTAAATAGCTATCGCCGCGTTACGCTTGCCAGGCAGCGTCGTAGCGGCGTCTCATCCCACAACGCCACCGTAGGATGTTCGCCAGTCACCATATACCGGTACAACGGTTCACGCTGCCAGTTACTGGCCAGGCAGCTTGCCAGTTGCTGCCCGAAGGGCGAATGGCTGGCAGGTCACCAGTCCGTCAGTCACCGGCAATGGCAGGTCTGCTCTACCACGTGTCGGCTCAGCGGTAACCGGTAAATTGGTATTGCCAACGCCTGTCGCCACCATGAATGGGTCGTAGCGCCAGGTTTAAGAATGTATGATGCCGCCATGCACCACGAGTATACGCCGATGCCGGTGGATTACAGCCACAGGTTATAGGTTTGTGCGCGCCGTAGCGCACCTACCACAAATGAAGTAATGCTACCACGCCGATACCCAGCCGTTTCGCCACCGCTGCCATGTCGCCGCTTATCACGGCCGCCATCGGTCGCTACTATACGCAGGCGGCACCGCTTATATTTCACCGCCGTACGATATTGCAGCAGCAGGTAGTCACCATACGCTAATACCAGGCGACAGCCTGCAACCGGTAGAGGTCATGTCCGCGACACGCCACCGATGTCGTCGGTATCGTAATGGAACGAGAATACCAGCGAATGGTACCGGTACGGTACGAAACGCTTTACCCGCGATACCGCATAAGGTCACCAATTGCAGACGACCGCCACCGCAGAAGAGAAGGTACCGATACCACGGCAACGCGCGCGCCTGATGCGGCGTCACTGCATGCCAGGCGCCCGTTCGCCGGTTTAGCCGTCATCAGAATAGAAGTCGGCAGGCTGAATACGCCAACGCCACAGGCAACACCGCAGGCGCGAACGCGATAACGAATACCCGTCAGTCTGCAGGCGTTCAGGCACGAACGATACATACGGTCACCGGTCGAGTTGCATGCCGGCTGGCCCACCACCGACCATTGAAGATGGTCTGTCAACACGAATATAACGTACCAACAGGCTGTCGTCTTCTTTAGATCCGAGGCGTTTGACGATTGATATCTGTATCACCTGGCTCCTCAGAGTCGACCCGGATGACTGCAATCTGCTTGCACTAATTTTAAAAGGGGCTGCTAATTAGTGCTGTTTTCTGAACCTCATCTGACAGAATTTCAACTTGTTTTTTGAGAGTTAGTCAGGGGAAAGACATGGGCATTGCCCTGGTGCTCCCCGGGTCCATGGGGCACATTTCCCATCCTGTCCACTCCAGTGGGATCTAAACTCAAAGCTAGAAGCAGAGCTTCACACACCTGTTCAAAAGACGCCGTTTTTTTCCTCACAATAGTCTGTCACCTTCATCTCAGAGAAGGGTGCCATGCCATTGACTTTGAATCCAGCCAGGAGAAACATTTTCATCTGCTTCTGTTCCTTAGTAGTGCTAACTCCTTAAATGACCAATGCCTTCTGTCTTCAAACACGGGCTTTTTGATAGTAGAAAAATGGTGAGGTGGGTGTGGTGCTCTGACTTGAGGGAATGTTCAGGCCTGATTTCTGCCAAGGGCGGAGTCCTGCTGAAAGGACATAAAATCATTTGGGGAACAAGCTTTGCTCTAGACTCTTGGCTCCTGGACCCTTTCATCACCTGATGCCACAGAGTGTTCTGAGCGAAACACAGCAGCACTAGACTATTTCTTGGCCAAGGCTGCCTCTCTTAAATGCCTGAATGCCAGACAAACTCTGCTTTTCAGCGCTTTTTGGTCCAGCTATAATTCACGGAAGATGGTCCTAAATCTGGATTGAATGATTTTCTTCCCAAGCACGCCTCTGAAATTGGCCCTCAGGTTCTCCGTGGCTGCTGGGTTTGCATGATCTCCGGCTGCTTTTCCTTAGGGTCACATTTTGGTGACACTGCCTGGTGGACAGTTCTCGATGTCCTCCTCTGAACCCATAAGAGCCTCCTGCCCTCGATTCCATCCCTCTCCCTGGCCTCTTGAAGACTTCATCTCCTCGGCGGACCTCCTTCTCAAATTCTCATGGCTTCTGCAATCAAATGACCTTTCAACAAATCCTCACAAATCAAACGAGAGCGCCTCGCATAGGAATGCTGTCAGATTTTTTTTTTTCCCAGCAGGATGAGGGCTTTGTTTTTTTTTAACCACCACAGACACCGAGAGGTCATCGGTTTGCATCTTGCAGGAAGCCCGCATGGAGGCTCCAGGGTGAGGAGGCTCTGTTCTGAGATCGCTGGTAGGAATGAACACACACAGGCCTTGCTGTTGATCATAAGCTCCCGCGATTCTTCCTCCTGCCCCCATCAAGATGCCCTTCCCATCTGCAACCGAGCAGGGGGCGTGGGGGCTGAAAAGGCATGCTTGAGGGGCTCTGGGTGCGTGAGTTGGCTACAGTCCACTCGGCCAGTCACGACCCTCATGGGTTCTGAGCCCCGCTTGGGCTCTCCGGGGCCTGATGGCCTCGGAGCCTGGAGCCTGCTTCCCATTCTGTGTCTCCCCTCTCTCTGCCCCTCCTGCTTCATGCTCTGTCTCTGTCCCCAAAAAATAAATAAAACGTTGGAAAAAAAAAAAAAAAAAAAGAAAGGCAAGCTTGAATGGTAAGTTCTGATCAAGCTGCCGGAAGGATCAGCTGACCCAGCTTACTCCGCACTTCAGGAGAGGTTCTTCCTTGTCCAACCGAAGACGCCCAATTTTACCGGCTGCTGCCTTTACCGCGATAAGGAGATACACGAACGTGACAGAAGGCCACTTGAAATCTTGAGACAGTGGTTGCTACGAGCTCCCACAATGCACTCTCTTTGTTTGAAGGCTCCCGACCCCTCCGCTGGGATAGAAACCCGTACACGCCACCAGCCTCTGGGTTTCCAGGACAGATGCCCACCACCAGCCTCCCTTCTCCTCCCGGGCCGAGCATCAGAGCCCCTGGGAGCTGCCCAGACCAGACTTTCCCACTCCCAGCTTCTGGT